TGCTTCTAACAGGTTTGCCACCTTTTAAAACCCCCACATAGGCTCTTTGATCGCTTGTTTCCGTCAAGTATCGGGCAAGAACAACAATCCTCCTCCCCACTTCTTCGTCACTCCCCATAGCTCCTGCGCACAAATTTCTCATACTAACTCCAAATCTATCTACTAATCTTCAAATCCAAGCCCGCCATTGGATTTGCAGCCCCCTAAACCCTCCAAAACACGTCTCCAGTCACCCGATTTCATCAAGAATCGGGTGAGTTTTGCACTTTCCCGCTTGTCTCTCTCCTTCGTTCCTCCGTCATAGCTTTAGCGCACCAATCCCGCTATTCTACTAATCCTTACTAAAACTAACTTCACCATCTACCTCGCCTACACCGATAACCCCCGCCTATACCTTTTCCCTATCCAATCTCACCAAGCGACATCTCTCTCTCCCTCTCACAACCCCGTCATGCCTGTTTTCCTGACCCACACTTTTCGCATGTATCCGGCGCAAACTTCCGTCCGGATCCACTCGCCTCTSCGTCTGCTYGTCACTGGCTCCGCCCTCCACCACTTTTCCCTGCACTTTATCGCCCGCTTGCCTGTTGCACCCAGTTTTTCAGGCCGCCCCTCTCCGCTCGTTCCCACTACCACCTGTCCGACAACTCCCGTCGCCGTGGCCACCTCGACATTCTCACCGCCTTCCGCCCGCCCTCCTGCTGTTGCTCGGAGCAGCGCTGTCTCAGCGCTCGGCCCGTCGGGTGATCGTAGGAGGAAGTTCGRGAAAGCCAACTACTACACGGTTCGATTTTTCTTTCGCCCCTAAACTCTCGACCGACGAGCGCTGCCTTTGGTAGGGGCGCTGTGCACCCAACCCGGTGCTTCTAACCGCGGCGCTCGAGAGCAGCGAAGAGGGAGGGGGCAAACCTCAAGGCGCTCGGCCCCCTTTTCCATATGCGTGCGGCACCGATGCCCGTCCGGGTTCGGTCTCGTCAACAGTGCCCTGTTCTCACCCCCGTGTCAAGCTATCCGCTARCACATGCRCCCCTCGATCAATACGGGCAGTGAAATGGTGGTCACGGGGCTCAAAAATCGCAACAAGGTAACAACTCTATTCAACGCGCCAAGCAGTCCGGGGTTGTACTCACTAAGCCAGGCTCTCGGGTGTCTGCCACACCCACGGCGCTGCGCCCAGGCAAAACGACGCCGGGCGCGGCTCCGGCGTAGTTTCGAAAACAGTTTGTAATTGCACTTCAGGCAACCCCGCAAATACAACACACCCCCACGCGCTCCTACCGCAGTCCCGTGTCCCAAAACGGGACGCGGTAGCAAAGGGACCAGAAGAATACCCGAAAAGGGAACTAAAATAAAATAACGGTAACGTCGGGGGACCGCAGGATCGTTGGCAYCCTGCYAGCYCCGCGGATCRGGCCCGCCGCCYCACCCATAAGCAAAATCGAGGGGGATAGCCCCGCAGGGCCCTCAACCCCTCAGGCTTTCGCTCCTCGCTACTCGGCTGCCGCCACGCTGACGCTTGCTGGCCTCGATCCCCGAACCTCCATAGTAACAGCCCGCTGTCGTAACCTATAGGGCTATGCCCAAGCCTGAGATTAGGGCCCGCAGAGTACCATACGAGACGGTGCAGCACGACGCTTTGGGCCAAAAAAAACGGCTGCGCGGCCCCCAGTGCCCCGCGCCGGCTTGCTTCTACCATGCCATAATTGCCCCGCGCGCCATCCTACGACACCCCGCTCATCGCACGTAGTCGCGCTGTCGTTGCCGACGCCGTCGTCGGGGTCGTTTCTCCGCACGTGCACTCTTCCTCGCTCAAACGTAATCATCGAAAGAAAATATCCTTAATCCCTACTTAATAAATAAATAATAATATTACCAAGCGAAACGACCGAGGTCCGGGCCGGCTTTACGGTCAATAACTGCCATGAATCACGCCCACCTTAAACCTGCACGCCCACACACTCGCTATCTTGGTCAACCACCTAGTCCACGCAACTACTGACTCAGCCGCGCTTAGCGAGGCATACTTAAACTCTAAACCAAACTATTTTCTATCACTTACAAAAACCAGGGCGGATACCCTTGTAAGGGTATTCGCACCGACAACGGTGTCTAGACCTAGGGTTTACTGTCTCTTGGGGTGACTGGGGGGATCTGGTCACTGGGTGGTGTCTAGTATATGTAGTAGGTACAGGTAAGGGTCTCCGGAGTCCCCCTAATATTCGAGCTTACCCCATTCTCGTTTCGAAATACATACATGATGCTACATTGATCACAGAGCACACATAGCCTTCGGGCATATTATAAGGCTTAGACCCTAGGGTAAGGGCAGAACGGAAATAAGTCGCTTCGACGCCCACGGTGTCTGAACCTAAGGTCTAGAGTCTCTTAGGGTGATTGAGGGGGTCTAAGACACGGGTCGTCGGAGTCCCGCCTGATATTCGGATAGAACTGTCTGGTGGCCATATAAGGCTTAGACTCTGGGGGAAGGGCAGGAAGGAAATAAGTCGCATCTGCGCCTACGATGTCTGAACTTAGGGTCTAGATTCTCTTGGGGCCTGTGGTAGATTGTCTGGGCCTGGCGTCCGAAGTTCCCGTTCGATAAGGCTCGTTCGACTCCGCTTCCACCACGGCTGGGTAACCTATGAGCCCTGGTGCCTATCACTGTTGTTCGGTCCAAGTTACCTGCCCATTGGTAGGGTAATGGTCTTGAGTGTTGGTCACACTAAGGTAGGATAGTGGGATAGGGGGTGCGCTAGGAGCATTGACGTAAGGATGGGATGGGAGGTTGTCCTATATTCCAGAACACCCACGGCCTACTACTCCATGTGATCACTGTGTACTCAGCAACTGACCTCTACAACACAATGGACTTAAATAATAATAATAATAATAATAATAATAATAATAATAATAATAATAATAATAATAATAATAATCAGGGTAACCGGCGTTCGGGACGGGCCGAATGCCCGAACCCGAACGCCAGAACGTATGGGACCCCTTGGGGATGCGTTCGACCGTTCAGGCCGAACGCGGACCCAAGAACAGAAGAAGAAAAAAAAATCATCAAAACCATCTGAAAAAAAGAGATGTTATGGAGAAAAATAAATTAAACAAGATTTTCCTGAGCATTACATCCGAATTCCTTACCAAATTAAAAAAAAAAAAAAACGAAAAACAAATACTAATAATAAAAATAAATAAAAATAAAAGAGAATTAAATTTAGTGAGTGCGCGAGCATGTTTTCGACACCACCATCTTTGGCGATTTTTCATTTTTTTTGGGCATAGCTAAAAGCCCTAAAAATTTACAGATGTGTACTTCACATAATACAAAACCCGCTAAAAAAGTTTCAAAGTATTAAAATTGTTTAGACCCCGAACTAAAGTGAAAACAAAAAGTAAAAAGTGAAAAAATATATGGGCGAGCACATTTTGACACCGCCATCTTTGACGATTTTTAATTCTTATTTGGCTTAGCCAAATGACTTGAAAATTTACAGGCATGTACCTCACATCATAGAGAACTCACAAAAAAAAAATTCAGAAAACAATAATTATGTATAGACCCCGAAATAATTTTTGGCGGGGGCCGAACGCCGTCGGGTTCGGACTCCGTACGGGACCCCGAACGCCCGTTCGTATGGAGGTCTTCCCGGGGACCTCCGTACGTACGGGCTGCTGACCCTGATAATAATAATAATAATAATTAAAAAAAAAAAAAAAAAAAACAATGGCTAAAATAACCAATAGTATAAGGCTAGGTGAGTGTAGTCGGGTTCCTCAGGGAATTTTATAGGTTAGACCTTGCCCAGGTGAAGGGCGCAGCCTGTGGCATTCAGGGTGTGCGATTCCAGTTCCATACGCTGGGACGACCAGTACGTTTGGGGGGCTGTGAGGGTCTACCCATGGAGCCTGTTGGGCTCGTTAGAGATGCTTCTGCCGAGGCTAAGTGGGAGTCTGGCCCAGGTGCCTGCAACCATTGTCCCTTCAGGCCACCCTGCCAAGATGTTCGAAGGGTGATGGTCCTTCGTGGTAGACCCAAATGCGAAGAACTTGCAGTTTCTCGGCGGCTTGTAAGCTACTTGTAAGTGTAATAGGGTCGTTTTCACAATTTTTCTAAGTTTTGGGCACTAACCGCTAGATGCAACAAGCCTACTCTCTTAACCCAAAAAGAACCTACGTACCCTCTATTCAACTTACCTCTGAAAAATGGGTTTTCCAAAATCGATGATTTTTTCCCGAATAGAACGTACAGTCGAATAGAACGTACGTACGTTGTATTCAAATTTTTGGTAATTTTATTTACTTTTTTAATCTGAAAATTCTGAAAAAAAAGTTGTAAAATATTGCAATAAAGACAACTTTTGGCTGAGGGTCATGTTGGAATTCATGACCGAATAAGAGAAAAAAATAAAAGGAAGAATAAAAATATTTTGAGGGCATTTTGCAGTGTTTTCTGATTTCCTCAGAATTTCAAGCTTTAAAAAATAATCGAAAAAACTCTTAAAACAAAATAGGGGCAAGTACCCCTATGTCACACCTGTAGTTCAGAATGGGCAAAAAAAACACAGTTCGGCAGGTCCTTGACGTTCCCAGTTCATAAAGGCAAAAAAAAACATCTGATGGCGCTCCCAACATATGGCAAGTTGGCTGGGGGTATGCAACGCTGCTCTGCCATGGTATTATTATAAGGGTGATTTGGAAAGCAAGGAACTCAGCGGTTTTCAAAAACCAGATCACCCCTTTTCACCAGCAGAGAGCAATGGTAAAGCAGTCGCTCAGGCTGACTATTTTAGCTGATTGGAAGAGAGCAACCAAAAGATTTGGTAAAGGTTTGAATTTTGGAAAACCTGGACCTTGGATGACTTTTTGGCTACACGAACAGAAGAAGGTCGGTTCGTAGTGGCTAGGTGGCTTACTTAAGTACTTTGGTTGGGTATAAGTCATCCTGCCCTATCGAACTTTGAACTTCTAAATATGTAGTTCGTATTCAGATTAATTGTTTACATGTTTCATTGGAAAACCGTGTGCACCTTTACTGATCTTCAAGCATTTTGAGAGAAAAAATGAAAACTAATACGTTACTGTAGCAGAAAACCATATTTCGTTATGAATGAAGTCTGAGGACCCGAGTTGATTGCTTGAGGGGTGCATGATGACAGGGCAAGCAGCATGCCTTGGCTTCAGCGATCCTAACCCTGAATACAGAGAAGTCCAAAGCATATCAGTCAGGATCCTTCAGCAGAAAAAATGTGCCAATTTTTTTGCCACGTTGGACCTATGTTTACACCACATTTCAACTGTTTATAAACTGTTGGCCGGGGGGGGGGGTGTATGTTCAACACAAAATGAAGGAAACCAACACTGGCCGTATATTGGGGACACTGAAACTTGTCTGTTCAACTGTTGGACCAACTGTTGAAAAACAGTTGGTCCAACTGTTGAAAAACAGTTGGTCCAACTGTTGATCCATTGTTGGTGGCTTGTTGAAATGTTCTTGAAAGTTGTTGGAATGTTGTTGAAACTTTGTTGAAATGTGTTGAACCGTGTTGAAACTGTGTTGGAATTTGTTGAAGCAAGGTATTGGACCGTATGCACTAGCAGTTTCTACACAGGTCATTTGCGTTCTCCGGGGGTGGGTTGTGATTGTGTTTTCCTCGTTTTGTGGTGAGCACGTTTTGTAGTACGAAGATCACATGGGCGAGCGTTGGGTGTGTGCGCGCCGACCTGGCACGTGATGATTGCACTGACTGATGGAATTGAGGGATAAGAGACTGATGACGAGAGAGAGAGAGAGAATGAGAGAGAGAGAGAGAGAGAGAGAGAGAGAGAGAGAGAGAGAGAGAGAGAGAGAGAGAGAGAGAGAGAGAGATGTTGCAGGCTGCTGACGACCACATTTTGGACCAAGTACAAACAAGGTTGACGTTCGGTGTCCGACTGCGGTGCACATTTCAATAAAATGTTGGGGGAGCCCTCGTACAAACAAGGTTGGCTACTGCGGGCAAAAACTTGTCGAACACGTCGGTGTCCGACACAATTTGGCACGCAGTAGCCAACCTTCCTTTTCTTTGTCCCTGAGATTGCTGTGTCTCGTTCTATATAAAACGATTTGGCGTGAGGAGCCGAGGTCTGCGCCAACCTGCCCTGCAACGAACAGTTCTCACCACCATAACGAGTAAATTTTTGGACTTATTCTCTCACTTGTACGAAGCAGACGTGGGAGACCGTCGATTAAATGCTGGGCTGCCCTCGTACAAACAAGGTTGACTAGTGCGAGCCGCAAGTTGTCCAACAACGCAGGGTCCGTCGCATTTTGGCTGGCAGTAGCCAACCTTCCTTTTCTGTGCCCCTAAGATCGTTGTGTTCCATTCTATACAAGGCGATTATGCGTGGGGAGCCTCATTTTACGTCGCCCTGCCCTGCAACAAACAAGTTTCACCACAGCTTGACAAAACACATTGTCGTGTCATGTTACCATTAGAGASTCAGCCACACACACCACTCAATCGCACAAAGATGAGGAATACAAATGTTTGTACAATTGTGTATCATCGCCCCTCCGTCTCCATGTCTTGTTCTCTTTCATCTCGGCGCGCATCTTGTTGCGAGCGGGGAGGTGGTGGTCCGATTGCTGCGATCCGACCAGCGGAATCTCTTTTTCTGCCCAGAAGCAATGCTTCAGCTGCCTCGTAATCTCTCCGCGGATCGTCGTCATAATTCTGTTGCATTCCCCTATGACAGCTCGAATCCCGCGCTCTGCAATGTGAGACCGCAGCCCTTCCTCTGCTGTCCCCCCTGCCAGTTTGGCCGTCGCTTGCACCGCCGCGAAAAACGTGTCCTCTGTAGGGTACAGAGTTGCGTCGTTCGCCGAAGAGAACGCAAAGGCTTTGGCGACGAAATGCAACAGCTTGCCCTTCATTTTCTTCGCTAATACAGCGCCCTCCTCGTTGGGTCCTTGCGCGGCTATGCCCCTTGCGCGCGCTTTCGTTCCTGACGTTGCGATGGGCAGGGAAACACAAGACACAACGCACAGGATAATGTTAGCAACTCGGCGCCTTGTTCTGAATACAGCACTTGGTAATTGGAAGATTCGGCTATCAACAGTGCGTTCACTAAAACCCTTTTCCGTGCGTGAAGGCTTGCGCCCCGTGGGGACACGGGATTAGCTGGTCGTGAGTTGGAGGGGAGTGAGTGCGATGCGGTTTTTTTACCTTTTCCAGTGGCGCTCACGTGCTGCACGATTTGTCTGTCACCGACAGGCTCCTCGGTGTCGCTGCCATTGCGTGCCTGCCGTTTTCCTTCGCCGCGCAGCGTCCTCGAAGGAGATGGCGAATCATCTCCTTCCGAAGTGGCGCTCCGGTCTTCGCCGGCACTCTGGCTGGCCGATTTGTCGTCGCTGTTGTCGTCGTCGTCGGTGTCTTGCGACTGCCCGCGGGAAGGACCACTGTCGTCTCCCTCGTTTCCCCCCTCCTCATCCTCCGCACCGTCTGACTTCTCTGGCGTGGAACGGTCGTGTTCCTCCTCTTCTTCCGCTTGGGGTGTGCTGTGCCTGTCGTCAGACCGTCTAAGATCGATTGTCTCCATTGGTCTCTCGTCTTTGTAGGATATTCTCTTTTTTGAACTCCAGTGAGTAGTCGCGCTTCTATCATCCCACAATTTTTTTTCTGGGGCCCTCGGCGGATGGTTGTCGGCGCCTCTTCCGCGCTTTCCCCCGACAGGGGTCGAGGGGGGTGACTCGTTACGTTCTTTTAGCGTTGAAATGTCCCGCTCACTCGAAGGGACTGTAACTTTCGACCCGGATTTACGCGTGCGCCTGTGCACCGTTGTCGCGGAGAGGCCGGCACCGCTTCTGTGATGCTCTTTCGACTCCCTCTTCTCAGCCCCCGTTTCAACAGCGTTCCTCCAACGGTACCCGGTTGAAGACGACCAAGCACCCAATTGACGTCATACGAGAAGTGTCCTCCTGCTCTCGTCCTCTCAACATTCTCGTATGGAACAAGACACTCTGCACCATCATCACTCGTGTCGCCATCCGTGCTCAAGTCTGCAGCCTGCGCACAAATTCCCGCAAGGGCCACTGCACAGTCCGTGGTGTTTACTCCGGCCGATATCCCTTCGTTGCTGACACCTGCAATACCCTTCACCATGTCCTGAGTCTCCATCGCGCATGTCTCCACGCCGTTGACATTCGATTGAATGGCAGGCCCCATCTATTGCATGACACATCACAAACATTTATGAGAAGCCTTGGCAGTGACGTGACCCCCTCACCAGAGAGAAAGAGAGAGAGAGAGAGAGAGAGAGAGAGAGAGAGAGAGAGAGAGAGAGAGAGAGAGAGAGAGAGAGAGAGAGAGAGAGAGAGAGAGAGAGAGAGAGAGAGAGAGAGAGAGAGAGAGACTACTGCGGGCCAGAACGAGAACAACCAGCGGTGGTTTGCACTTACATGGCACGCAGTAGTCAACCTCTCTCCCTCTCAGGCAGACATACATTGCGTAAAAGGGCGGTTGGCTACTGTGGGCCGTTGGGACAACAAGCAGCATCGGTACACATTGACATGGCACGCAGCAGTCAACCTCACCTAGCCGGAAAAAAAAATTAAAAAAATTATGGCACGAGCGCGAGGTTGGCTACTGCGGGCCAGAACGAGTACATTCAGCAGCGATGTACACGTACATGGCCCGCAGTAGTCAACCTCGCCAATACTGCCTAACATACACTGCGTAAAATGGCGGTTGGCTATTGCGGGCCGTTGGGACAACAAGCAGCATCGGTACACACTGACATGGCATGCAACAGTCAATCTCACCCAGCTGGGAATAAATAAAAAAAATTGTGGCACCAGCGCGAGGTTGGCTACTGCGGGCCAGAACGAGTACAACCAGCAGCGGTGTACACKTACATAGCCCGCAGTAGTCAACCTCGCYCATACAGGCTAACATACACTGCGTAAAAGGGCGGTTGGCTACTGCGGGCCGTTGGGACAACAAGCAGCATCGGTACATACTGACATGGCACGCAGCAGTCAACCTCACCCTGCTGGAAAAAAAAAAAAAAATTGTGGCACCAGCGCGAGGTTGGCTACTGCGGGCCAGAACGAGTACAACCAGCAGCGGTGTACACGTACATGGCCCGCAGTAGTCAACCTCGCCCATACAGGCAAACATACACTGCGTTAGAGGGCTAACAGCAACTGCGGGCCATTGACACAACAAGCAGCTTCGGTACACACTGACATGGCACGCAGTAGCCAACCTCACCCACCTGGGAAATCAGAAAACAATGTGGCATTAGAGGGCGGTTGGCTACTGCGGGCCATTGACACAACAACCAGCTTCGGTATAGACTGACATGGCACCCAGTACCCAACCTCACCCGCCTGGCCACTCATAAAAAAATGTGGCACCAGCGCGAGGTTGGCTACTGCGGGCCAGATCGACAACAACCAGCAGCGGTGTACACTTACATGACCCGCAGTAGTCAACCTCGCCCATACAGGCAGACATACGGGGCTTTAGAAGGCGGTTGGCTACTGCAGGCCATTGATACAACAAGTAGCTTCGGTACACACTGACATGGCACGCAGTAGTCAACCTCACCCACCTCAGAAATCATGAAAAAATGTGGCACCAGCGCGAGGTTGGCTACTGCGGGCCAGATCGACAACAACCAGCAGCGGTGTACACTCACATGGCCCGACGTAGTCAACCTCGCCCATACAGGCTAAACCACAGTGCGTTAGAGGGCCGTTGGCTACTGTGGGCCATCAGGACAACAACCAGCGTCGACAAACACTGACATCGCACGCAATAGTCAACCTCACCCAGCAGGGAAAAAAAAGAAGAATGTTGATTGCTAGAATTTGACTACTAAGGGCCAGAACGAGTACAATCATCAGCGGTGTACACTTACATGGCCCGCAGTAGTCAACCTGTCGCAGAGATGCATACATACACTGGACTGACAGAGAGGTTGGCTACCGCGGGGCGATGGGACAACAACCACCAATGGTACACACAGTCATGGCATGAAGTAGTATACCTATTGCAGCGTGGAAAACAACACTCTGCTTTATCGACACGTTCACCAGTCACCGATGCAACACGACGCCAAACGTGACATGCAAGACCAGAATTGGCCTGCAAGGGGGACAACTTCGTGCTGTCGAACAGGTAGACATGCGTACACACAGAGAAAAAGAGAGAGAGAGAGAGAGAGAGAGAGAGAGAGAGAGAGAGAGAGAGAGAGAGAGAGAGAGAGATCACGCTTCCCTGACGACCCGCGCTGCCACAATTTGACATCTTCTGTACAGAGTTTCCAAGCGCTCATGGATGTCAAGTCCTTTCCTGCAATATTCACAGTTTTTTTCCGCTCCATGACGGCCCACGTTCAGTAACACCGGTCCCATTATATCTTTGATATATGAAATTATATGCGAAAAACAGTCCACCACCAGCCTCGCCATTTGTCGAGAGTTTACGTCAACAGCGAAATTTTCAAAAATTTCCGTCGTCATAGGCATAACAGAAGATTCTGGTATAGCCGAAGGTGCTTTGCTGGCAAGCACGCAGGGGAAGTTGTGACGCACGTGGTGAGATTTGAGTGCGGCAACATCACTGCACGCAAACAGGACATGTGGCGCAGGCGTATCCTTCCCAAGAGTGGCCCCATTCCCCGAACACACTCCGATTTGTCTGTCAGGTTCCTCTCTTCCCTTCTTCGTTTCACCTTCTCCACATCCCATAACATCTCCTTCCGTACATGTCACCGTCAGTTCCCCAACCAACATCCTGCCTCGAGTGCGTTGCAGGGCATTCGTTACGTCGGAGCAACTGCTCAGCAGAGTCGCGATTTTTGCAGGAAGCTCGTCATTAACAGACTCGACACGCACTTCACTCAGACCGTACTCGTCAACAGTTTCCATACAGTGGCGAATGCACTCCTCAGCGAAGGCTAAGAGGTCAACGACGCTGCGTGCCGTCGTAGGTAGCGAACCTCTGTTGTAATCTTGGGAATTGTGCAATGTCCACCCCTCCTTGAGCACACACTTTCCGCAGCTGGCAAGACACATGACATCCCCTCCGTCTGATTCCCTGTTTGTTGTCTTCGTGACATGTGCGGAGAACCGCTTCAAGACTGCGGTGCGCCTTTTCCTTTCAATATCCAGCCATGCCTGAAACTCGTCGAACGTGGTGTTCTTCGTTTCAGCAATTGCCTGAAGTCTGGCTGACATGTCCTCCCTCAGACGAGTAACGTCTAGTATATCTTTCGGGTTGCCAAGCAACAACCAGAACACAGTGAACATCCTGTGCTCCGCGGTTTCCGTCATTTCGTCGAGAAGCGACTTACGCGGCGTAGTTCGTCCGGAGAAGCGACTTGACGTGCAGTACTTTCTGCTTATGCACCTCCTCTGTTAGCCTGCCTATATGTTCTCGGTCGCTAACTACAGTCCGACCCCTGTTTCGATCCGTTTCAGGTGTATTGTGGTCCTTGTCGCCTGGGGGAAGGAAGTCATCCATCCTTGCATGACACTCTCCGCCCAGCTTCCTTTTCTGCCCGGTCGTGGTGAACGTTGACATCTGGAGAGCAGTGTATACACAGACAAATACGTGGACACAGCAAG